ATCAACGTCTTAAGGTTGCCTGGTGTATGGTTCAGGGTGCAGGGGTCTTGCACATGGCTAGCAGATCGACTGCTTTGCAGGGTTGCCGGACGCGCGGCCAACGTGGGTCCCAAACTCTGACCGCACTTGCATTGAACCTGTTTCGCAGATGCCCTGGCCACGAGGCTTGCTCGCAACACAGTCGGACATGACTTAATCTGTCCAAAGCCTCAACCTCAAACCCTGGCCGGCACCCCCAAAGCCCTGTCCAAAATTCCTCAAGCCCTCACCCTTTCCTTGTCATCATGTCTCCACAATCCCCCGGCAGACCTCCGGCCTGTCCCCATATTATCAACCTCTAGCAGCTCTAGCAAATTTTCCTTCATAGTGGGTCACTATGCTGCGACTGTGCAGGTGTGACAGAACCAGTCGTAACCTGCCATCTCGAAAATTGGTGCCCACTGGCCTGATTGCAAAGCTTCCGACACATTAGGGTCATGACCCAAATCACACCCCCCAAACCCTAAACCCCCTAAACCTAAAGTCCCCAAGGCCACAGGTCCTGAAGTAGCTTAGGGTATTGGGCTATTACGCTCTCGCAATGCGAACACTGCGAAACGAGGTCTCTCGAGTCCGACTGGGACTACTCCTAGGCCTTAGGCATCCCAAGACACCGAACGAGCCCTGTGCCTGCCAGGCTACTTTCGACAGCAACCGTCTCAATCGTCCCCACAGTCTCGTTGGAGCCGTGGTCCACAGTCTCGTTGGAGCTGTGGTTGGAGCTGTGGTTGGAGCTGTTGGTACCATTCGTCTGGGGCAAGTCGATACCTCGGATTCCGACCCTCGGTCTTAAACATGTAAGGTCATCACAAAGTAGGGAGCACGAACAAGATAGGTCCTTTGCCCCTCACTGATTACCTTGATCTAATTCTTTCAGATTTTCCTTCAAATCCATCAGGATTTGACAGCCGCAGCTCTAATATGGTCCAACACCTCCGCACGAAATTCCTAAAACACTGCACATAGCGTGAAAAGGAAGATGACAAAGGGGAAAGTATCAACCCCCCCCTACCAGCACCCAGGGCCCATTGAGAATGTCAACTAAGTTCCGAGATCTCAGCCGGTCGATCTGACTTGGGACTCCGATGACGAGGAGTCTACAGCCTAGAAATAAGAAACTTGGAACATGCCTGTAACGGCCCTGGAGTGGCTGTAGGCTGGAGTGGCTGAAGCAGATACATCTGCTGGACGATTGCCTATAGTCTCCCGTAGAAACACACTTAGAGGTTTCCGCTTGGCCAGTTGCCGGCAGCACCGCGGAGTGCAGGAGGTCCAGCCAGGGCCACCGAGGTGAGGGCCAGAACCGACAGCGCTTGGACTGACGGCAGTTTTCAGATGCAGACGTTTTGCATGGGAGTAGAGGCTCCAAAGCTCCAAACCCAAGCTTCCGACCGGAGCACCCTAAACCCTAAACCCAAGTTTCAGGAGCCAGAAATTTGGAAAGCCATAGACGGCGGGCTTGAGGCTGAGCGGTTGTGTTGTGCAGCAGGTGGGTTCAAACCATCATCCGAATTACGACCACCACCGCCCTAATCATCAGAAGCAGAATTCGACCTGCACATCTTCATCCTCGTGGTAACAGGAACAGCCATGAGCGTAACGACAATACTAATGACGTACATACATATGTATCTATATATGTATATATGCATGTATGCATGTATGTATGTATATATATATAGATATAGTTTGTATATATATATAATATTACATAATTGCAGCATCATATACACAGTATTTAGTAAAACAGCGATAACAAAAAACTTCATGTATTATTCATGGCAATAGTACGAAGAATCACCATCACCAGCATCTTCTTCTTCTTCATCCTATTCATCACCACATCAGTAAAGTTACAGGTGCCATGATCATTTTCCGCCTGCATGCTTTCTGCGTCATTGCCATAATCATAATGATCATCGTCATCATATTGTTACTATTACTGTTATAAACAATATCATTGGCAGCAGCAACATTAGCAGCAGCTCTAGCAGTAGCAGTAGTAGTAGGAGCAGTAGTAGCAGCTGTTGTTGTTGTTGTTGATGTTGTTGTTGTTGAATGTAGCAGCAGCAGCAGTAGCAGTAGCAGCAGCAGCAGCAGCAGGAGCAGGAGCAGTAGCAGTAGCAGTAGCAGCAGCGGGAGCAGTAGCAGTAGCAG